ACCACCATAATCACATGAGCATGTATGAGGCTCATCACTTTGAAGATTCCAAGGCTTTAGAAGTTGGTATACCAGGAGACAGAGGAAGACTACAAATATGTTGCATGATATCACAAAAAAAGTAATTACTAGTATGTGTACATCTTAGAGACATTTCTTACCACAGAGGAAGGAAAGGGCTGACACTGAGCAGAGATCAGCCTCTAGCAAATGTATGCAACCCACGTGTGGGAAAGTGTGTGAGGGCATTTTTTTTTCATTCTATCATCCCAGACTTGTACTCTGGGAGAAGGTATTTTTCATCTACAATAATTGTTTTGTGATCCAAGGGTAAGCCAAATGAGTTCTTTCCTTTCTAAGCGGTGTTTTATCACAGAAACAAAGGGAAACTAGGACACCTGGTCTGGCTCTTTGACGGGTCAGACCTTAGCCTACTGTCCCTTCCTCCCATGGCAGGGACCAGGCTGCCATATCAGTCTTGAGCTATCTCTGGGCTTGTCAAGTATGCAATAGAAATGAAGTTTCGTTTTGAAAGCCTCTTTTAGATTATTCTGTTATTCCTGGTGGAACATAATGTCAATTAATTGGATGGTTTTCTTTAAGTCCAAATGCTAAATTTATTCGAATTAAACCTAGCTAGGTCACAGCCTGAGCAGCCTACTACTTCCTACAGTGTTCTTCCAGTGGGTGTGTTGTCTCTCTATGGTGAGCAAAAGGCACAGCAAACATTGACGGGGTCCCCCTGGCAATGGGTACGAACTCAGGCTGTGCAGATGGCTGGCTGTGTGGGGAAACTGGCAGAAAGCCGGACGCCCCTCCTGAGCCACAGGGATGAGGCTGGGTAGAAGAAGGGCTAGCGCTTGGGGTTTCAACGTGTGGAGCCCCATGGGAAGCTGTTGCTGCCCTGCTGTCTGCCCTATCTGCTGCCTGAGTCCAAAGGCCTGAGACCCACAGCGCCAGTGTGTACCTTTAAGAACAAAGAGTGGGAGGGGCTGGGGATGAGGAAGTACAGACAAGAGATGCTTTTCTACTTGGGGGGAGTAGGTGGAGAAAGGCTACAGACAAGAAGTCTGTACTGAGGCATCAGGGTGGACAGTGTTTGCTTTGTGCATACAGTGCTAACCAGGGGCTCTTGGAAAACAAAGGCCCTGCCTGATCTCGGCTCTCCTCTGATCCGTCGCCGCTGTTAGTGTAACCTGCACCCAGGCTGATGGCAGGGCTATGTTCACCTCCCACCCTCCTTTTCATGGCATGCCAAGGACACATAGATGGCATCTGCAGGATCCAACAATAGCAGAGGTGAGCCCAAGGTGCCTACCAGTTTCTTAGGCCCAAAGGATTCTTATTGTATGAAGCAGGTTCTGTGCTGTAGAAAGGTCAGGAGTCCACTTTAGGTAACAGGAGACGGTTAGCAAAAATCTGAGCTTTTTCAAATTACATTTAAAAACTCTGTGTGTGTGTGCGTGTGTGTGTGTGTGTGTGTGTGTGTGTGTGTGTGTGTGTGTGTGTGTGAGAGAGAGAGAGAGAGAGAGAGAGAGAGAGAGAGAGAGAGCGCTGCACATGTGTTATGTGGGAAGGTAGAGGCCAGAGGAGTTTGTCCTTAACTTCTACCACATGGGTTCCAGGGACCAAACTCAGGTCATCAGGCTTGGTGACAGGTACCCTCACTCTCTGATCCATCTCTCTGACCCTTAAAGAAAAGGGGACTGTGCATGCCTGGCATGTGCTCTGCTGCTGAACTACATTCCCAGTCCTTGGGATGTGGACATATACTTATTTCCAAATGCCTCTGAACTATACTTAATGCAGTGCTGAGAACTGAATCCAGGCCCTCATGAATGCTAGGGAAACACTCTACCACTGAGCTATCTCCCCAGTCCTAACACCTAGCCTTACTCTAATAATCTAGGAAGGGCTCCCCCCATTAGCTTCCATCTGTTCTTCCTTGGGATGGGATGCACTAGCTCCAAAATGCTTCTAGTCCAAAATCCATTTCCCACTGCCTATCGATGTAAAATACGTTTCCCCTACTTATGCAGAGGAGCTCTGGCCCAGAATTGATCAGTGTGAGAGAGTCAGTGTAGACTGGAAAGGCATGGCTCTCAAGTCGGGCAGACTGGCTCAGAAACCAAGATTCCTACGTCAGAGTCCAGAGATATCATCTGTAGTTCTGGAAGAAGAAACGAAGCTATAAAGGGCACCACAGAGAACTAATAAACCTTGGCAAAACCTTGAAGCAGCTGGGGACATAAAAAGGAAATGTGGTTAGTATGTGAGCGAGTTAAAAAGTTATTAGGGTTGGAAATGTAGCTTAGGGGCACTGGGTTCAAAGCCCAGCCCAGAGGGAGGGACAGTGTGGTTTCAACAGATATGTACCATGTGCCAAACACTGTTCTAGACATAAATACACCAAGAAAACCAAACAAAGTCGCTGTACTCATTATTACAGTAACAAACCTTGAAGACAGTGACTACCAGAGCAAATAGGAGTCTTGAAAAGAGATGCCTTGGGGAACAGGTTTGGAAGAGGGGAGCCATGGACAGAAGCACAGCCTGGGGTTGTTTTTCCTTATGAGTCCTGCTGTGCATCTGGATTTAAAGTTTTAAAAATTTTCAATTATTAACTATTTATGAGCTGTATAGTGGGTTTTTTGTTTTTTCTAGTTTTTTGAGACGGGGTCTCACTTTGTTACTCAGGTTGGCCTTGAACATAAGGGTCTTCTTGCCTAAGCCTCCCAAGTGTGGGGTTTACAAGGGTGTGTTATCACACTCAGCACCCTCCCCCAGGTATATAATCACACCCAGTGTCTCCCCACCTGCCGTGTGTGTGTGGGTGTGTGTGTGTGTGTGTGTGTGTATGTGTGTGTGTGTGTGTGTGTGTGTATGTGTATGTGTGTGACTGATGATTGAACTTAAGGACTTGCACTTGCCTAGTCAAGTATTCTACCACAAAGCATCTCTAGCACCTCAAACCATTTATTATAAGAGTACTTGGTAGGAAGGGGGCATGTGGGTGACCACTCCCTCCTGTACATCTTCCCATGGTATACCCTGAGATATCCATCCTCTGGGCTGGCCTGAGCAGATCAGGTGACTTCTCTTTGCCTGTTTCTATCTGACACTAAGATGCTCATGTAAATTTCCCCAGAGTCCTAGAGGGACAGGATGTTGTTCATTGTGGGACCTCTGTAAGGACTTCAAGCTTCTTGGAAGAACACTGGTCAGGGCACAGGGTGGAGCTTGGTAGACAACGTGTCTACCATCAGGGATGAAGCCAGGTGGTGCAGTCTCTACCATCGCAAAGGCGCCCAGACAGACCAATCATGACACAGCTTCCATCTGGATGGTACTGTGCCGTCGTTGATGGCATCTGTACTGCTCACTCATGGAAAGACAGGGTAATTTGCTGTCCTGGCTGGATTATTGCCACAGAAGATTTCACAAGAAAGCATTTAATCCCTAAGGCAAGAAGGGCCTCCAAATGAGGTGCAAGAACAATTATGTATTATAAAAGAAAGAAAAGAGATAACTGTCTGGAATCAGGATGTAGTTAATAGGAAAACACTTAAAATACCTGCGTAACAGAACAAGGAAGATTGCCCGGGAAGGTGAGCAGGTGCTCCTCTGTGAGTCCATGCCCAGACAAACACAGAGGCTTCGGGCCATTCGGGTGGCACACACGTGTGCTGGGGTGGCACAGTGATGCTCTGGTAAATGTCTGACAGCTCCGGAGAGGAGAGCCTGGCTTTGCAGCGCTTACCAATTTCAATTACATAAATTCTTGCACCTTGGCCAATTTCAAGCTACCCAATTGAAGTCACTGGATGTGGAGCTGGGAGGGAAGCCGTCAGTTCTGAGCAGTGCCTGTTGGCTGCTAGGTCCAGCCAGGTTCCAGCACTGTGGTTCGATTATAAACCAGAGAGCCCCTAGGTTCCTCAAGTCATCTGCCCCTAGCCTTGTGGATAATGCTTGGACTTTTATCCCAGAACCCATCACATCTTCCAAACAGAACTGTCTATCTTGTTATGGAATTGTACCAAGAGCTGTGGCTGGCTTCCCAGATGTCCTAGGTCTCTCCAGAGGTAAACAGAGCATTGAGGGCCCAGGGACAAAGGAAGTAAAGACTTCAGCAGAGAGCTGAAGACAGGTGGTTATTGAAGCAGAAGCAGAGGGCACCCTGTCAGGAAGGGTGGGGTTTCCAGAACGTTTGGAGGACTCTGGGCTGGCCCCTGGCCCCTCTCCTCCTCTGATCCTCTTTTCTCTCGCACCCCCTCCTATTACGTCATCTCCTAAGCCGGGATGATCCTTGGCCCAGGGAAACACCAAAGGCAATGCAGCAATCCAGCTGCGGAGTAGTTCAGCTGTTACATGGGAAGGTTAGCACTTCCCCTCCGGCCTCTCCACACCGCCCCCCGCCCCCGCCCCCACTGCCTCTTCCCTGAGAACTCCTCACAGAACCAGGTCCAGGTCCCCTTGCCCACTACACAGTACACCAGATTCTGAAATGACAGGTTTTGCAAAAGGAGATTACTGGCAGGGTAGCCAGGCTCGTGAACTCAGATTTCAAATCCACTCCCGGGAGGGTGGGACTTGGGGCTGTTTATAACCTCAGGTGTGGGGTAAGGTGAGCAGATTCTAATCAAGAACTGATAAAACAGGCATTCCGGAACTGCGAGTAGGTGGTTTCCTTGTCATTTACCCCTTTGCAAAGTTCACAGCACAGGAATTCTGGGACTGTCCTTTTGGTGTTGGACTTTTTCTTCCAAAATCGACACAATGGTTGGCAAGAGCATTGTTTATTCAGAAAACAGCTGACAGGATGCGGCAGGCAAACTGCTGCCAGCCACAGGAACCTTTAGGCCGTCAGGAGGAAGGACTCCCTCACCTCTGACTGCCAGCCATCACCCCTTGGAAGTTAAGTGGCTGCTGGGGTCTTTGGCCCTTGAATGAACCCTCCTGCTCCCACAGGAAGCGCCCCCTGGTTAGTCTTGGGGCGGGTGCTCTGAACTCCTGGCCTCCTTTTCCTCTCTCATTAAATCCTCTGTACTGGAGCCAGTGGGGCTAAAGCCGGGTCCCACGGGGCTCGCTGCTTGTGTGGAGAGGCCCCTTTAAGGAAGAGAGTACCAAATTACCAACATTCATTGACCGACCATCCGGGCCTTTAGAAAGGGCCTGTGTACATCATGGTGCCTGGAGCTGGAGCTCCATTAGATTTTACTAGGCAGTTCGAGAAGGAAAGCGAATGCTTGCCGGTGACGCAGGTAGCAGATCATCTCATCTGGGGGTGCCGCCACCACCTCCTCTTCCTCTCCCGCTTTGGATAAGGAAGTCTCAGAACTCTTTCCACTTCAATCAAGACTGACAATAGAAGACATTGTCCGCTCCTTCTAAGGGACTCAACTTTATTCTCCCCGGCTTGATCAGAACAGACCAGTCCTGCCAGTAACAGAGACCGGTGTAGAACCATTGTGGGTGAGAAGTGACCTCTAGTGGTCAGTCGCAAAGGTCACCCACTTTGGCTCTAAACAGTGCGGGGGTGGGGTGGGGGGTCCTCAAGCGGAGGAAGAATGTGGTGGCCAAAGCAGGTTTGGAGTTTGAGGCCAGCCTGAGCTACATACTAAGATCCTGTGTCAAAGATAAGATAAAGGGGTCAAGGAGATGTGGGAGTGGATACAGTGCTTGATACATATGGGAGCCCTTTTTCAGGTTCCTCGTGGCTTTACCCAGCAGGTCCGCATAGAAGATGATCAGGACCACGGGCCTGAGTGCAGGTGTCTGAGATGGTCTGCACTTGGCTGTGCTGGGGAGGGGGGGGGGTTTGCTCCACCCCTTGGCGTCTCTATAAATACCCTGGGGCAGAGACAGTCAGGGCCCGTTGGAATAGGTTCCAGGCCCTCTGGAGGCTATCCTTTATTTTCTATCTGTTTATCTCTACAGTCTAAATCCTTCTATCTAATATTTCCTGTTGCTCTCACTCAAGAAAACTCTGGGGAGCTGTGGGGTTTGTGGGTAAACGCCCCACAGATATACAAGTATGAGGACCTAAGTGTAGATCTCCAGTACCCAGGTCAAAACCAGATGTGAAGAGTGCACCTGTCATCCAATGGATGGGTAGGGTGGGGAGACAGGTGTATCTGGGGGCTCCTTGACTGGCTAGTCTAGCCAAGACTGTGAGCTCCAGATTTAGTGAGAAATTCTGTCTCAAAAAAGAGGGTGAAGCTTGGCATAATGACACACACATTTGATCCCAGTGTGGGGGAGGGGGTGTGAAGCAGGTGGGTCTCTGAGTTTGAGGTCAGCCTGGACTACACAGTGAGTTCTAGGCCAGCCATGGCTACATAGGGAGACCTTATCTTTAAAAATAAATAAATAAGTAAATAATAAATAAATACAGGTGAAGAGTGATAGAAGAAGACGTTTGATGTTAAAACTCGGCCTCCACACGTTCATATGCACTCACACACATATATATCATACACAGAGAAAAAGATTGAAATCAGATTTTCACCGTCACTACTGTGCTGTCTACTTTGAGGGCAGGGCATGTGTCTCCCGGGAACATTTGCACTTGGGTTTCTGAGTTACTAGTATTTTTGTTTGTTGGTCTTGTTTGCTTTTGTTTTTATATTGCCACTAAAACCCAGGACTTTGTGCGCGCCGGGCGGGCTCTCTGTCACTGAGCCACAGCTGCCACCCCATCTTAGTTTCATCGTCTTTAACCCAAGGTCCCTTAAGCCTAGCATCCTTCCGTGGGAAATGGTAACTATCATGAGCGCCTTCTAAATGGAGGCAAAGGCTGACTGAAAGAGCAGGGGTCAGGTGTAAGGAAAGGGTCAGCGTGTGCTTGGTACTCAGTTAAAATCGGTTCTCGGTCCTTCAGATCCAAAATTCATAGAGGCTGAGGAAGGAAGGAAGGGATAGATCAGAGGGGAGGAACTGGTTTTGGTTTTTAGTACAGGTAGGCTGTGGAGGGTAAGAGCCCAGGATGAGAGACCATCTCCCTAGGAAAATGTACACACATACACACAAACACACACACGTCCTCACAGATTTGGCAGTTTTCCCAACGCTCCAAGCCCGTTTGTAGTAGTTTAAGAAGTCACATTAAGAAACAAGATGGCTGGGCATGTAAAGGTGCTTGCCACCAAGCCAGAAGACCCGAGTTCAATCCCCAGGACACACATGGGACAAGGAGAGAACACCTCACCTTCGCACATGAGCGGTGGCACATAGATGCCCTCCCCCTAGAAAAATAAATGTAATTTTTTTTAATTAAAGAAAAACTAAATACATCTGGAAAAGCATGTGCAGAGGGCAGTTTTCAATGGATTCTGATTCCCAGTTGGTCAGTAAAGAGGTGTGTCCCCTTAGACAAGCCCCTTTTGTGGTGATATTGTGTTCCCCAAAATACTGTGCACCCTAATAAACTTATCTGGGATCAGAGACAGAACAGCCACAATATTAAACATAGATAAAGATAGGCAGTGGTAGCACACGCCTTTAATCCTAGCATTCCAGAAGCAGAAATCCATGTGTTCAAGGATACAGCCAAGCATGGTGACTCACGCCTTTAATCCCAGAAAGCGAGACTTTAATCCCAGGGAGTGATAGCAGAAAGCAGAAAGAGATACAAGGCGAAACTAGAAGCTTTTGGCTGGTTAAGCAATCAGGCTTTTGAGAAGCAGTTCAGCTGAGAGCCATTGGGATGAGGACACAGAAGCTTCCAGTCTGAGGAAACAGGATCAGCTGAGGAACTGGCATGGTGAGGAAGCTGTGGCTTGTTCTGCTTCTCTGATCTTCCAGCATTCACCGCAATAACTGGCCTCAGGTTTGATTTTATTAATAAGACCTGTTAAGATTCCTGCTACATATTGGTGCTCGCCTTGGCAGTGTGTGTACAAAAAACCGGAGTGATAGCATGGCACCTGTGCAAGGATGATGTACGGATTTGTGAAGCATTTCGAATATTTTTTAAAGGGAGAGTATCACAGTGATACTTGGCTATGTAGTGAGCTAGAGGTCAGTCTAAGTCACGTGAGACTGGGTCTCAAACGCACACGTGAAGAAGTCCTGGAAAGATGGCTCAGCATTAAGAGCACTGGCTGCTCTCCCGGAGGATTAACGTTCCGTACACAGAACCATATGGTGGCTTATAACTTTGTGTAGCTCCAGTCCCAGGGGATCCAACACCCTCTTCTGGCCTCCCTGGGCACTGTACGCATGTGCTGCATAGATGTATATGCAGACAAAATACCCATACACATAAAATATAAAATAAAAACAATTGTTTTTAAAAACAAGTGAAGGTTAAACTGATGTAAACTTGCCAGATACAGGATAAGATGCCTAACTACATTTGTATTTCAGAGAAACCATGACTTTTTTTTTGTTTAAGTATTAGTGTATACCAAGTGTTGACTCTGTCATGAATTACCGCATTAATCATTATACTGGACATAACACCATTTTTAAAAGTATTATTTACCTAAAATTTAAATTCAATGGGGTGTGTTCTATATTTTCACTTGCTAAATCTGGAAACCCTAGACATGATTTTGGGTCTTTTTTTTTTCTTAAAGATTTATTTTATTTTATTTTATGTGTATGAGTGTTTTGCCTGCACATATGTATGTATACCATGTACATGCCTGGTGCCCATGGAGGCCAAAAGAGGGCACAGGATCCATTAGAACTGGAGTTACAGACGATTAGAAACCACCACGTGGGTGCTGGGCACTGAGTCTGGGTCTTCTGAGAAAGCAACAAATACTCTTGACAGCTGAGCCCTCTCTCTAGCCTCGAGTCTCTGTTTTATGCTTTTGGTGGTGGTAGTGGTGGTGATTTGTCCTAGGGCCTGATCCAAGGGCCTCCCATAGGCTAAGCATTCTCTCTAACACCAGTGAGCTATAGTTCTGTGGCAATTCAGGTCTTGATTGAAGGGCTATAGTTTTTTATGATGAGGAATCCTAATAATAGGGAATGGGAAGTTGCTTAAGCTAGAAATCCTGGAGGCCCCATGCCTTTTTTTTCTTTTTTCCTAATACAGGGGATTGAAGCAGGGCCTATGCTAGGCAGGCACCCTGCCACTGACCTACATCCCCAGCCCTTCATTTTCATTTTCAGACAGACTTTGCTAAACTGCCCTAGCTGGCCTTGAACTCACCATGTCATCTAGGCTGGCCTCAAACTTGTGGTTCTTCTGCCTCAGCCTCAAGTAGCTGGGATGATAGATGTACATCATGCCTGCGAGTAACTGAAGGCAGTTTAGTGGGCACTGTTGGATTCTGGGTAGAAAAGACAACAGCCTGGGTCTCTGTGTTGATCCAAAAGCTGCTCTGTGATCACTAGGGTGTGAAGGCCAGATTCCTTGCTTTTCTGTCATTCTGTAACCTTCAGTGGCATTCCTAGTGACCTGTGACCCTGTTGCTGTGGACCTACAGTGCAGTCCCTTCCTGGGCTGGGAACCTAACACGCACCTCTAACTTGTGCTGGAATCAACATCCTGCTGTCCCTTCCTTCCTTCAGCTCTTGCCCTCGAGAGGCTGCTATGAAGGGGATGCTGCACTAGATTCTGCCCTTAGGTAAGGTTTTTTTTTTTAATAATTATATAATTTATAATTTAAATTTATTTTATGTGCATTGGTGTGAAGGTGTCAGATCCCCTGGAACTGGAGTTACAGACAGTTGTGAGCTGCCCTGTGGTTGCTGGGAATTGAACCCAGGTTCTCTGGAAGAGCAGCCAGTGCTCTTAACCGCTGAGCCATCTCTCCAGACCCTGGCAAAGGTTTTTACTTTACCACCCTGATCTAGACCTAGTTCTATAGCCCGTGGCTCTCAAGGAGACTCACAAGCCACTCTGTCAGAGCTGCCGGGGAGGTTTGTTCAAGTAAGACTCTGAGTCTCTTCAGAGCTGATGAAGGAAAGGTGCCTAGATATGTTCCTGAGTGAGCATTTGTGATGGGTATGTGTGAGTGTGGGTGTAATGTGTGTATGGGATGGTGTATGTGTGTGTATGTGAGGGATATATATGTATGTGTGTGTGTGTATATATATGTGTGTGTGTATATATGTGTGTAGGGGGTATATGTGTGTGTGTGTGTGTGTGTGTGTATGGGGGTGTGTGTGTGTATGTGGAGACTGTTTATGTGGGGGGGTATATATATGTGTGAGAGAGTGTGTGTATATATAGGGGATGTGAGTGTGTGTGTGTGTGTGTGTGTGTGTGTGTGTGTGTGTGTGTATTGCTGAGGATAATCTGAGGGCCTCACATGTGCTAAGTGCATATTTTACTACTGATAAGGAACACATCTGCCCACCCCAACCCCATAATTCTCATGCTCACCTTAATCAGAAACCCACAACTTCCTGGTCTCCTTCTCTGGCATCTTTCCAGAAAGGCCTGGGTCTGGGGAATGTGGAGCACATATGGGTCACTGTTCTTAGGACTTTCAAAGTGAAAGCTGTTGAGTAATAAACTATATTTTTTTCAGTGCTTGTGTTAGAATCCAGGATCCCGTGCATGCAAAAGAGGTGTTCTGTTACTTGTTCCTACCCAAGTCCTGAACTCTACTAATAGTCCAACCACCCATACTCCTTAGGCTTGGGTTAACTTCTAGACTTAATTGTTAGCAGAAAGATGATTTTCCTTTCCCTCCATTCCAGGAGGGGGACTGTTCCAGGGATTTATATGACTTTGGGCAATCACATCACTTCCCTGACTCTCCGAATAGGGTACCACCACACCACCATTTTCTTGTTGGAAATCCCTCCTCATCACCTGAAAGCCCTCTGCAGGGTTCACAAGCTTCCTTATTAGTTTCTTTAGAATGACTAGAGCCATTTCCACCTTGGAGTTGGGAGAGTTGTCCTGCTCATTAGAGCATCCTCGAGGGTACCCACTTAATGTTGTGAAGATTGGGGAGTACTAGGAGACATCAGAGCTTTGTAGAGTTACCTCAACAATTTTCCATAGAGGGCAGTAGAGGGACTTGAGAAGACACCTTTCAGGACAGAGCCATCATAATGGGCTTGGATGGAACTGGCATTCCAAATACTTAGTAAACAATAGGTGCTCAATAAATACTTGTTTAATACACTGCTTCAACATTTTAGTATTAAAACTGTCAAACATACACAGTTGAAAGGATAGCAGTTAAAAGGAAGATCTATATAACCCCTGGCTGGATTCAGTAACCGTCAATTAACATTTACAGTGTTTATTCTGTTGATTGGCTGTTTGTGTTGCTGAAGATCTCACCCAAAGCCTTGCACATGGCAAGCACCCACTCTTTCACTGAGCCAGATCCCCAGTCCTGGTTTTGCTGACTCATTTGAGAGTTGTCATTCTCATAGCACTTAACCCCTACACAGTTTGCCGGCATCTCTTGAGAATTAGGGCATTCTTCCACATAACTGCAACATGGTTATCGCACCTATGAATAATCAACCATTGTTTCCTAATATTATCTAATATCTAGGTACAGAAATTGCTGTGAGTGCCCTGCCCATAGCCTCATGGCCTACATAGAAGTTGCCCACAAACAGTTCCCAGAGAGTGAGTAACTTCCTGTGTGTCTTGAAGCTGGCTCACCAGGCAGGCTGGAAGACAGAAAGACACTGACGGCTAATTGCTCAAGCTCCTTGCCCTGCATGAACTGACTCTGGGCTGTATTGCACAGAACTCATCGAAGGCTCCACAGTGGTCACTTGCTCACCAGCACATCCTTTGGGAGTTCTTTCCCGGTCTCACTAGTGATGCCTCCTGAGATGGTTGTTAGGGGAACTGTTTGGACTCAAAGCTTTATCCTAAGATCTGCTTTGGAGGGATCTAAACCCAAGGCATCGGGCCTTTGCAAAATTCACCCTTAAAAGTTATTTGTGTCAGGCTGGAGAGATGGCTCGGAGATTAAGAGCACTAGCTGCTCTTTCAGAGGACCCAGGTTCAATTCCCAGCACCCACATGGCAGCTCACAACTGTCTGTAACTCTAGTTCAGGGGATCCTGACACCCATGGCAAAACACCAATGCACAGAAAATAAGAATGAATAAATCATTTAAAAATGTTTTTTAATGTTATTTGTTCCTGTAAGTGAGTGTGTGCAGATACCCGTGGAAGCCAGAAGAGGGCATCAGATCCCTTGGAGCTAGAGTTATAGGCAGTTGTGAGCCAGACATTGGTGCTTGAAACCAAACTTAGGTCCTCTGCGAGAACAACAAGGACTCCTAACCATTTCTCCAGCCCTGCTAAATTCATCTTTCAATGATAATAGTAGGATGTGCTGCTCTTGTATCCGCTGAGAAGCATGCCACAAGCCTGCTCGGGGTGGGAGGCTTCCACCCAGTCAACAGGAGCTCTTCTCGATGATGATCCTTACTTGAACAATGCTAGAGCAAGGCTGGGCCGCAACCAGCCTATCCTCCTAACAATAATAATTACAGCTTATGAAGGGCCTACTGTAAAGCAGCTTTACATGCTCCATTTCACTTAATCCTCACAGTGACTCCGTAGGGAGGGTACTATTACTAATTCTATTGTGTTCATCAAGAGCTGAAGGCTCCTAGGGGTTAGATAACTTTTCAAAGTCACACAGTCAGTAAGAAATAGATCTCTAGCATGGTTACCCAATGTGTTAAAATGCATACAAAGAGCCAAGTGTGGTAGTATACACCTGCAATCCTAACATTTGGGAGTGGAGAGGCAGGAGGATCAGGAGTAATAGTAGCCATGGCTACATAGTGAGTTCAAAGCCAGCTTAGGCTATATGAGATCTTGCCTAAAAATAAATAAGTAAATAAACACAAAACAAAAATAGAGAGAGTTGAGGGTGTACCTCAGTGGTAGAGTGCTTGCCTAATATATATAAGACTGGGTTTGATTCCCAGCAACGGAAAAAGGGAGGGGTATGGATAATCATAAGCATTCTTCTATTTTTTTAATGAGTGGGAACAATAGTACTTGGCAGGTAAAATGTCCATTAGTAATACTACCATAAAGTATGGGGGGTGAGGGCTGTGTGCACACACATGCATGAGCATCCATGCACGTGTGGAAGTCAGAGGACAACTCTGGGTGTCGGTCCTCATCTTGCTCCTTGTTTGAGACAGGGTCTCTTGTATATGAAGTTAACTGGCCAGTGGCCTTTTGGGGATCCTTCGGTCTCTTCCCCCCCCCATCTCCACCTCCCATCTCACTGTAGGAGTGCTGGGATTACAACTACTGTATCAGGCTTTTATGTGGGTGATAGGAGAATCCCCACTGAGTTATATCTGGCCTGGCTCCAGACAGCCAGCACCAAGCCTTAATCCACCTTTGTTTCTCAGTTACCCTTGTTTCTCCTGTTGCCCTCCATGTGAATCTTGTCTGAGAGTTTCCCAAGGATACAAAGCCTTTGCAAAACTTGTTTGGGAAAAATCCCTGGCGAACTGTGCTATTCCTTGATTGAGTATTTGCCTTTGGCATTGTCCCTTTTGGAGGCCTGGTCAGGTTGTGTTGAGGATATGGAAATCAACTTGCTTAAGTGTAAATTTGGAGAAGAATAAAAATGCCCTTGGCTAAGGGAAAGTGTCTCAGTCCTGAGAGAGGCTGAGTTTCCCTGCAGCTGGAAAGGCTAGAGACATCCTAAAGGTGCAGCTGTGTCTTGTTTCCATGAACCCACAACACAACAACAACATGTGGGCTCTGGAGATCTGTACTCAGGTCCTCATGCTGGCACCTTACCCACTGAGTCGTTTCTTGAGTCTAACTTAAGTATTTTCTTTCTTTCTTTTCTTTTTTTTTTTTTTTTTTGGCTTTTTCGAGACAGGGTTTCTCTGTGTAGCTTTGCGCCTTTCCTGGAACTCACTTGGGAGACCAGACTGGCCTCGAACTCACAGAGATCCACCTGCCTCTGCCTCCCGAGTGCTGGGATTAAAGGCATGTGCCACCACCGCCCAGCCAAGTATTTTCATCAATAAAATCAGTTTAGCTCATTCTTGAAGTATCGGGCAGTGGCTCCTCAATCCAGAGAGAGCCTCGAGGAGCTAAAACTGTCTCTTGTCACTTGGTACAACTTCAGCACAGGGCTCAGGTTACTGATGATAAAAAATTTTCCAGAATTAAGTTATGTGAAATCTTCAAGTGTTACTGCGATTGTGAAAGTCAAACCTCTCCTGAGACTTGTCTGGTCACAGTCCTCAAGCTATCAGATCGTCAGGCTCAGTCATCTCAGTCGAGGTGACAGTGTGGGGTGAGATGTGCTAGAGGTTTTTGCACAAGTTCAGGCTTCCCTGGAACAATACGCCCCTGTTAGGAATATCTGGCCCCACCCAGTGACCTAGGTACACAGAAAGGCTTAGGTCTTGTGAAGATGTCATTTCCAATTCCTGTCTTCTCTAAGAATGCAGAAAGGGAAACGGACTTTGCACCCAGGTTATCTCAGTTACTTGACCCCACTGTCATAAAGTGTTCAAATTCAAGCATTATAAAGGATCATAACAGGGAAATAATGCAGGGTTCCTGGGCAGAGGAAGAGTTAGCTGAGGAGCTCAGCTGCTCAGAGCTCAGCAGGTAAGAGACAAGCTTGTCTTTCATAGAAAGTGAAGTCCGGTGAGGCAGGTGGGTTTCTGTGAGTTCAAGGACAGCCTAGTCTACATAGGGAGTTCCAAGACAGCCAGGGCTACAAAGAGAAGCCCCATCTTTAAAAAGGCAGGGAGGGAGGGAGGAGGGAAGGAAGAAGAAAGGAAGGAAGACTCTGTTTTAAAATAAAACAAGTAAGTAGTTGTAGGGCTTAGTTGTGATTGAACATATATATATATATATGAAGTGTTTAACAGTGTCTAGAAGTCATTTCAGATATATTCCTGCCATATGTGGAGTTGTACTCTGTACTCTTTTCTTTTCTGTCTGTCCATCTGCTGCAGTTCTAGTTTGGGGCATCAAACCTGGGACTTTGTACATTTGAGGCAAATACTCTACTACTGAGCTATATATACTCCTTGCCCTTAGCTCTAAGGGAAATCGTATATACATGCTTTTCCTGGACAGACCTGAGATATCTTAGAAGGATGGAGCATCAATGTGCAGAAGATCGGAAAAGGAAGCCTCGACTATCCATTCTTGATAGTCCACATGTGACCAAGGGGAAGAAATATTAAGATGAGACCATGTTTACAACAAGTGGACACCTTTGAATCTGTAGTAATCTCATGAACTCTCCATGAGGGGCTGGAGAGACGGCTTAGTGGTCAAGAGCACTTGCTGCTAATACAGAGGATCTAGGTTCGATTCTCAGCACCAACATTGCAGCTAACAACCATTTGTAACTCCAATCCAGGGGACCTAACACTTTCTCCCTGTCTCCTTGCTCACAAGTGGTACACAGACATACATGCTGGCAAGATGCCCAAACACATAAGACAAAGATTTTCTTTTGAAGGAATTCTCTGATTGGAGAACGGCTTTCCAAATGTGACGCAAGTTAGACTTTCCAAAAAGAATGACTTCATTCAGTTCGGACCACCTGAGAACAGAGAATTCATTTGTCTTTCTGTTAAAGTGATAGTTTTCTCACTTCTCCCTCTTCAAGACCATCTGATAACTTGTCTGTAGTTTCTTTTTTTGTTGCCATTAAAAAAAAAAAAGTCTTAAAAGTGAAAAGAACTTAATCAGAATTGTTTAATTAAAAAACTGGGAGTGTACGTTACAGCTGGGGTGACTCACTTGGGACTTTATTTTAAGGGCCTAATAGGAAGAAAGTTCATAAAGTCATTGTAGATCAAAGTACAGAACCCACTGCATTCTTTGCCTCCAGGAGAGCAACCTGCATTCATTAAGGATGGTTTTGAAGATCATCTGGCCACTGCAAGCATGCAAACTTCTCCTGGTGGTTTTATCTTTGCCACAAGTGAGAACAAGTAAGTTAAATATTTTCTATGACTTCTTTTTAGATTAAAAAAATTAGTTAAAATAATAATCTATGGACATTGGGAACAACCTTAAGTTCCATTTTGGAATGGCTACCCAATACAATGGGTTCAGGCAATAGGAGTCAGAAAACATTTTCTTTTCTTTTCTTTTTTTTTTTTTTTGTTTTTTGTTTGTTTGTTTTTCGAGACAGGGTTTCTCTGTGTAGTTTTGGTGCCTGTCCTGGATCTTGCTCTGTAGACCAAGCTGGCCTCGAACTCACAGAGATCTGCCTGGCTCTGCCTCCCGAGTGCTGGGATTAAAGGAGCGTGCCACCGCCACCCGGCTCAGAAAACATTTTTAAAAGTGGGAAAAAAAAAAAACCTACTGTTTTATGGCTCTGATTGTATAAGAGGATGAAGTGCGCTATTCTCTCTAGAACTGTAGTCAGAATTTTCTCACATTTTAATATATTTTAGTACCGATTTCAGGAGAGATAATCTTCTGTCGATTTGAACACATCACTTCGAGGAAAATATTGCCCCTATCTTCATCTCTGTCTCTGCCTTAAAGTGGCTTCTCTCCTCTCTCAGATTTTAAAAATACTTATTCACGATAGAAACAAATTAGGCCAAAGGCTTAGCTGTAGCTTGGTAGTAAAGTGGATACTTAATTTGCCGAAAGCCTCCAGGTTCCATGTGCAACACCAAAAACCAAAACAAGGGGCCTGGGTGGCTGGCTTAGCGGCGTCTTCAGCACTCACTGTAAAAGCTGGCCAGGTCTCTGTGCACTTGAAGCCTCTGCACTGGGGAGCGGAGACTGGTGGAGACTGAGAGCTTACTGGCCTGCAGAGGATGGCTTCTGCCTTAGTGGGAGACTCTGCCTCGAGGCAGTAAGGTGCAGAGAACAGAGGGAGACAGACACCTGGAGTCCTCTGGCCTTTGCGGAAGTGTGTACAGTTGCAGGTACTGGCACACTTGTAGTCAAGTTAGAGGCTGTGTTAACACATATTTGGGGGGACAGCCTAGCAGCAGCCAGAGCTCTAACTTCTAAACCAGGAAAAGAAGAACTGAAATTCAGGTATATATTACTATACAATGAAAAAAATTTATAAAAATCACATCGAAAAAGCAGAACCCAAACCCTACAGGGTACGGTGGTGAATGCTTTTAATCCCAGCATTTGGGAAGCAGAGGCAGGGGGATCTCTGTGACTTTGAGGCCAGTCTGGTCTTCATAGCAAATTCCAAGACAACCAGGGCTACATAGTGAGACCCTGGCTCAAAAAACAAACAACAAAAGAGACCTGCTGCAGATCCTGAATAATGCACCCCACAAAATCTTGTCTACCTCAGAAATCATCGTCATTTAAACATTTTTTAATTTTACTGTACTGTCCAGTATTAAAACTGGGAGTTTTAATGAGAAACACAAGAACAAATTCATCCATGTTCCTGTCCTCTAACAAGAAAAGTATTTTTTAGCACACGGGAGGCAGAGCCAGGTGAATCTCTGTGAGTTCGAGGCCAGCCCGGTCTACAGAGTGAGATCCAGGAAAGGCACAAAGCTACACAGAGAAACCCTGTCTCGGAAAAAAAAAAAAAGTATTTTTAAGTAAAGTCTTTGTCAGTTTTGATGCTTGTGATAATTATTAGAGATGGAATTTGTATTCTACCTTTGGATTTTTGTTTTAAATATTTTTCCATTTTGATAATCTTTTTCAAGTCCTTGCATTTCTACTCTATCCACCCACCTCAAAAAAAAAAAAAAACCCACATCAAACCTGATATTTCTCTGCTTTTTACCTCTGTTTACCAGTTTTAGTCTATATAAATATATGATATTTTCCTAAGACTTTCCTTAGTGAACATCCCAGTTATTATTGTTTTCTCTATCAGGTCACTCTGGAATTGTTTTGTACACACTTTCTAGCTTGGTGGTTGTCAAACTTCACTGTACATTTGAACCACCTAGGGAGCTTTTGAATAGCCCAATACCTAGGTTGTACTCCTGCCAATCAATCAGATGATCAGGGTACGAGCCTAGCACCAGGATGTAAAAGATCTCTGGGTATTTCAATGTGCAGCAAAATATGGTGGCCACAATTTTAACGTTTTTTTCTTATTTTAGCTAATAATCATGCCCTCATACAGGTAATCCTAGCACTTGGCAAGCTGAGGCAGGAGGATCCTCAGTTTGAAAACAACTCATCAATCAACCAACCAAACAAAAACATTGTTTCTATCTCCTTGTAAAATCACGTAGATCTATATGATTTTAATTGTTGAGAGTGTACTTGATTGCATTGATGTAACATAATTCATTTAACCAATCCTCTGTTGGTGGACATCTAGGTTAGACATTTTCCTATCTTAACAGTTGTTTGTTTGTTTGTTTTTTATATCCTCAGGTTCTGTTTTAACTGTGAATGGTAAAACTGAGAACTATGTCCTGGACACCACATCTGGTGGCCAAGCATCTCTGGAATGTGCTGTTCAAAACCACACCAGAGATGAAGAACTTCTCTGGTACCGAGAAGATGGAAGAGTAGATTTGAAGACTGGGAACAAAATCAACAGCAGCTCTGTCTGTGTCTCTTCCATCAGCGAAAAAGACGATGGAGTCCGCTTTACCTGCAAGCTGCAGAGCGATCAGCAGGTGTCGGTCTCCGTGGTGCTCAATGTTATTTGTGAGTGGCGGGAAAAGAAACTGCCAGTCAACCTTGCATGTCTGCATTGTGTTAAGTGACAGTTGAGGTCCCAGTCTTGATTCGGCCACACTGTCCCATTCAGGTTCCCATATGAAACATCGGAATGCCTATTCCCCCATCTCCCCAGGAGCACCAAGGATCTGCCAGTCACAGTGAAATTCTACACCCACCCTCCCACATGCGTGTCTCTCATCTCACAATGTTGCCCAGGCTAGCTTCAGACTTATGAGCTCAAGCGGTTGCTCTATCTCAGTCTTTCAAAATCAGCCACCGTAACTCGCTTACTCATTTTTTCAACTAAAAATGAGGATATTCACCCTTTCCTGTACTTACTGACTGCTCATGTTTCTTCTCTGTGAGATGTCTGCCCATGCCTTTTAACTATGTTTCTATTTGGGTATTTGCACCTTTTAGTCATTAACTTGTATCAGCAGCAGGGCCTGGTGCTTAAACATTCATTAATGTTAAATGATTAAAGGGAACGGTTAATAGGACGTGTCCAAAAGTGGGACTGTTATGTTTGGCAGTTCTGTTCTCTACTCCAGCAGCTTCCTGTGTGTCTGAATACCACATAGCACCCTTGTTGGATATGGATACAGAATTCAAGCTCATTCCAAAGAGCAACAAAATGTCATTCTTCTGAGAAAGTTATTAATAACACAACCCACTCAGGGTCTAATTATTCAGTGTGCAGATGATACAAGCTCCTTTTCCCTCCTTCTCCAGGTTTGCCTCCTTCCTTACTGCCCACTCTAACCACTGATTAATTTCTGGAACATTTATATACCAATAAACACAAGGGGCATAGACAGGAAGGGAAAACTGGCTTGGTCATTTCTCCTCCTGGATGTGGGTGAGGGTTGGAATCACCGGATGAGGATGAATGTGTCTGACTAGCCACAGCTACAACTCTTGCTGTGGAGGATGAAAGAGAAGAGGCATGAGGATTTACTAAGCTTTCGTAGAGTCAAGATTTACCATACCTAGAGGCTTCCTGAAGCAGGACGTTCTTTTTAGAGGGCCACTGAGCCTGGGCAAATGTGGTCAGACAAAATGCAAAACTTGAGGGTGTGACTAGCTTTCCAAACCACCACCACATTCGTAATAGTAGTCAGCATGATATCAGCTTCTTTGCAGGGATTGTCTCAATTAATCTTCACAGCAGCAGGAAGGTACTATCATCCAAGTTTTTTTTTCTTTCTTTCTTTTTAAATGAGGAAACTGAAACTTGAAGAGTCGAGTAGCTGTCACAAATTCACACTAGAGGACATACATGGAATTAGTGCTGGCTCCCATGTCTGTCTTTAGTACAGTACTGTTTTAGCCAACCCTTGTATCAATCAGACTATTACATATGCTCAGAGAGCAGGACTGGTTTTGAAACAGGGTTGCACTATGTTGCCCTGGCCAGCCTGAAATTTTCTATGTAGACCAGGCTGGCCTCGAACTTACAGAAATCCACCTGCCTCTGCCCCCCAAGTGCTGGGATTAAAGTCATGAGCTACCATGCTCAGCTATTATTATATATATTATGTTCCGCATCATATACAGCTTTAGGTATGTCTTTTTTAGGAAAAACCTCTACATTTTATTTTATTATTATATGTGCATGAGTATTTTACCTGCACGCTTGTCTGTCTACTGTGTGTGCCCAGTGCCCACAGAAGCTAGAAGAAGCCACCAGATCCCTGGAATTGGAGTTAGAGACGGTTGTGAGCTGCCATGGAAGCAATGGGAATTGAACCTGGGCCCTCTAGAAGAGCAGCTAGTGCTCTTAAGCGCTGAGCATCTCTCTAGCTCTTCAAGGTCATCTTTCCAACCTTTGAAGTTCTATGACGTTAGGAACTGAATGCTTGTCATTTACTTTCATGTCCCGGTTCCTAGCTCTGTACCTAGCGCACAATAGCTGGCCCACACAGTTTTTGTCTAAGGGGTGAATATACTCTGAGAAAGACGGAAGGGAGATCTCCAGTTGCTGACAGAGAACTAACTACTGCTTGTTTCTAACTAACCTTCAATGCTTGAATCTTACAGTCCCTCCTCTTCTAAGCGGAGATGCCTTCCAAACCATAGGGGAAGACAAGGATGTAAGGTTGGTTTGCGACGTGAAATCCAACCCCCCAGCGCAAATGACATGGTATAAAAACAACAGCGTCCTGATTTTAGAGAAAGGCCGTCACCAAATCCAAGAGACAAGGGAATCTTTCCAGCTGTCCATCACCAAAGTCAAGAAATCTGACAGCGGAGTCTACAGTTGTGTTGCCAGCTCGTCTCTGAAAACGGAGACCATGGACTTCCACCTGGTTGTTACAGGTAATTCCTCTTAAGTAATTGCTCAGTATGATGCATCACTCAGAAGACGGCTCAGGAAATATGATCAGTGACAACCGATGGTGGTGACCATTATGCTTTGTAGCGAAGATTTTCATTGGAAAATTATCCCCAGCCAGGAGAATTTCTTTAGGAATTCTAGTCTGAGTCAGAGCTGGATGCCACAAGCCTATAATCTCAGCTATACAGAAGGCTAGGGGAGGGAGACTGTGAGTTCAAGTCTTGCCTGGGTAACTTAGTGAGATCATACTCTGAATAAAAAAAGGCAAAGAGCTGGAGGCTGGGACTATAGCTCTGTGGGTAGGGTGCTCTCCTTGTGTGCAGGAGGTCTTGAGTTTGATCCTGGGCACTGCAAATGGCTGGGATAGCTCAGTGGTAGAGTATTTGCTTTAAAAAAGAAAAAAAAAATTCTAAGCCTGGTGTAGTGGCCCATGCTTTTAATCCCAGCACTTGTGAGGCAGAGGCAAGTGGATCTCTGTGAGTTCAGGGCCAGCCTGGTCTACAATGTAAGTTCCAGGACAGCCAGGCTTACTTACATAGTGAAACCTTGTCTCAAAAAAAAATTTTTTTTTTCTATTTTAGAAGAATTATGCTCATTCCATATAGACCACTGGCTTTTGAGCAGAGATCTGGGACCAAGGTAGAAAGCAATTCTGGTGTGACTACAACTTCGCTCCAGCGTTGATGTGTGCAGGAACTAGCCTTTTGAGTTCACAGCCTGTAACAGAAGAGAATTCAGAAATACACAAAAGAAAAACATGGATTAGATTTAAAAAAAAAAAATCTCTGAAATCATTCCTAATTCTTGACTTCTAGCCTGTTGCCTGATCAGCAGAGGGAGTGGGGAAACATGGTTAACCAGAGGGCATTCTGCTCCGTTCGCTCAAGCTTATCACTCATGGAGAACCAGTGAGGTTTAGAAAGTAGTCACCTTAGATTTGTCTCCTTTTAAAAGATTTCTTCACTTTGTTTTATGTGTGAGTGTTTGCCTGAGTGTATGTATGTGCACCGTAGGCATATTTTCCTTGGCTTGTTGCTCAAAGAGGAGATTGAAGTGCCTGATGGATGCCACAGTGCACACCATTCCTCTGTACACGGTTGGTCTTGGCAGGTACTCAGGGAGCAGGCCAACAAGTCCAGGCTCCTGCATCCTCTTAGAGCATTACTCACCAGACCTACCCATCGCCATTCTTGCCACTTCCCGGGAAACAAACCAAGCTCCTTCCTGCTATCTGGACTGATGTCACCAGAGCATAGCTTCTTCCTCCCCACCTCGGGGAGCCAGGGACACAAGCACAGTGGCCGTGGGATCCAGAGTGGCCGTTAGCTGACTGCCCCATCACTGTGGTCACTGGGTTTTTCAATAATGTGTCCTGCAGAGCAGCGACAGTACGCCTCGGGCTATTTGATTAAAACAACAACAAAACCTGCAAAAGATCCTGTGTCCAAAGGGCAGAAGCAGTGGAAGAGACACCACCTTGGAGCTTGTGACTTTTTTTTTTTTAACTTTCCCCAGAACCTTTACAAAAACATGGTGGGGTGAGCCCCATGTGGTACTATCCTAATTAGATATAAGACCACACTTGAAGACTGAGTGATTATAGCATCCTTGTTGGTTAGGAAGAAAGCATAATTGCTCCATAAACACGTTTTTGGGGTTTTTTGTTGTTGTTTTTTGTGGGTTTTTTTTTTTTTAAATCACACAGCTTGTGTGGCAATCAGCACATTGCCTTTTAGGTGGGCAGAACCGTGTTTTGGGTGGAGTTCTGCCAACCCAGCTTGTTTTCTTATTTCTTTTTTGCTGTGTTACTGCCCAGGCTGTCAGTGTGGCTTTTATAGCACACGTGGTCTGCTGCTGGTGCTCAGTGGGGCTTGAGGCCGAATTTTCTGGCAGGCTTTCCCGCTTCACAGTGGGGGTTGTTTCTAAAGGGCTGTGAGATGCTGGAAATGGCCTGAAGCTCTTTGCCAGCGTAAGAGTTAGCACACGTGTTAGGAACTGTTTGGCCTGAACGGTCTGAGGGAGAGGGACATCAAAGCAGGACAAGGGAGGCGTGCAGACCGTCACACGTGTGTCAAAGTCACTTCAACCAGGAACTTGGAATGCAAAGTGAGCCAGTAGGTCAGTCGTTGCTTTCAGCTTGGCTTGTAGAAGGAAAACGGTTACATGTGGCTTCATGATTTCCAGTGTGGTGAAAGGTATTCCGATCTGGGACTGCTTTCTGATTTCTCCTACTCATCCGATTGCCCCTTCCTCTCTGTTCTTGTTGGGTCTGGGGTCTCACGATAATGGGGGACAGACCGCCAAAGTCTATTAAACCAGAAGCAAATTTTATTCCAGAAAAATAAAGAATAAAAAAATTATAAAACACCGAGGGGTATGAAAGCTTATCAGCTAGCTGAGACCCCAGCCAATGTTGGAATTCTGGGCCTGTGGCAATGGAGGTGGGTGCTGGCCCCCTTTTACAGTATCAGGCACGGAGTGTGTGCTAGGAGTCATGTAGAAACAACTACTGAAAGTTAACTTTGGTTTCAGTAATGAGTGGTAGGGGATTATCAAAGAATAGCTGACCCCAGGGCTGCAAAGGGTAATCTCTAGTAAAAGAAAACTAACATTTGGGTTGTTGACAGAGCTGCCCACCACAAAACACAGAAGGGTCCAGTTAAAGGTTAATCTTTTTTTTTTGCTAGCCAAGCTGATGGCTGTCAGTTTTTATTCCTTAAGTTTATAATGTTATATTTCTATATTCCTGGACCCTTCATTCTGATAGCCTTCCTTGGTGAGCAAGTAGAGGTCTCCAGTTTGTCCCAGAGTTGATGAGTATAGAGGGAGGGTTTTCTAGAAGGCTCACCAGGCCAACCTCTAAGGAGGGGTGGCACTACCCACACCTTCATGAGAATAGTTTGGAGAAGAGCTAAGAAAGGGCAGAAGTGGAGGATACTCTGCCCTGGGGGTGTAGCTCAGTGATAGAATTTCTGCTTGGCATGTGTTAGGCCCTGGGTTCTATCCCTAGTATTCCCATACACACAAAATGAGGTCTATTTTATCCATTTGCTCCCCCACCCCCATTATCCTGAGCAGGAACCGAAAGAAATAATTGGAAGAAAATGTTTAAAAGATAATTGGTCGGGCCAATAAGATGGCTGAGTGGGTATTCGCTGCCAAGCCTGACAACCTGAGATCTGTCCCTGCTTCCCACATGTTAGAGGAAGAGAAGTGACCCCCACAAGTTGTCCTCACACCTCCACCCCCACAAATAAATACATGTAATACAAATAAGCAAACTTTACGTGCGAGTGGCCTTCGCTTCCAAAGCTGTCACGGCTGCTGCAGCTCCCTCACTGTCCTTGTCGTTTAGAGAGCCATGGGGATCTTTGCCAAGTTGGGAGGGCTGATGACTGAAATTCTACTTCCTTTCAGACACCAAGCGGCCGCTCTCCACATGTCTCCATATCTGCCTGGGGCACTAGCACAGCTCGGGACCGCAGTGTGCGTTGCTCCATGGACCCATCCATGCCTCCTGCCTTTCTTAGTCTAGGGAGCCCTTTCCACCTCTGTCTTCTCGCTCTCCCAGCCTCCTTCCCTCTCTTTATCCTTCTGAGAGTCCCCCTAAAAACCTTTGTGCTTTTGAGAAGGCATTCACTTCACGTTTGCTTCTGCTTCCTGTGGCAAAAACAGAAACAGAAAAATAAAGAAAGCACAAAATGGCCTGAGTGGTCATTTGGGGTGAGGTACTCATATTTCAGCAACTTCTTTCACAAAGGAATGGGTTCAAAATCTGCCTCTGCCATCTGTTAACTCTGTCATTTTGGATAAGTAACCTAGCCTGTCAAAGACCCTCATTCCTCATCTACTGAGGTTGTTAGGGGGATTTAATTAAAAGGGTGGTGTATGCAAAGTATAGGGGGCCATGCCTGGTTCATATCACAAACACGTAAGTTAGAAGTTGACTGTTCCTCCCTGCATTTGCTTTCCCAACAGACAAGGTTCCGGATTTACCGGTAGAAGCGATCATTGCCGCTTGTGTGGTGGTCGTCCTGACACTGGGTTTTGGACTGCTTGCTAGGAGAAAAAGAATAATGAAGGTACCTAAGTAGTCTAAGTTACTGGGGTAAAACGTCATCTGAGAGGCTGGGGCTACGGCTCAGTGGTAGACCGTGCCCTGCACATACAAGGCTCTAGCATCTATCCTGTGTATAGCTTTACAAGAAGACAAGTGCCAAAGGACAAAGCCTGAGTGGAAATACCTATGGTGTCATAGGCGGGGGCTTTGAAGTCAGTTTGTCCTCCTTTCAAATTTCTCCTGACAGGTGTGGGTGGCAATGCACACCTGTCTTCCCAGTGCTGGGGAGGGAGAGGCGGGAAGATCTGGGATGTAAGTCCAACCAGGGCTGCATAGTCAAATCTTGTTTCAAAAACAAAAGCCCCAATCAATAATTTCCCCTTTTATTGTTGCTATGGTGCCCTTGGTACAATAAACAAACACAGGGAGGAACAGACTGCATGCTCTGCTCTTGAATACAGCCACATGCTCTACTGCTGTGGGCTGGAGTTTGACTCGTCCAAGTGTTGACATCATTGTTTACTGCAATTCAGAATATGTGCGTGTTTAGGTTAATGCCATGCATTCGACTCTGCCAGATCTCTCAGGGCCAAAGAGGGCACATGTGGCAGAAAACCTCTAAAGAGAGACAGAATGCCCTAGGCTGAACTCATCAGTCAGCAAGTGACATTCTCCGTGCAACAGTAACTAGATCTGATTCAGGGCAACAGTGTTTCCCAAGAAGAAATCCGCCCCACCCTGGATTCCAGTCCAAAACATTTTTTCCAAAGAAAGAAAGGAAGGGAGGGAGGGAAGGGAGGGGAAGAGAGAGAGAGAGAGAGAGAGAGAGAGAGAGAGAGAGAGAGAGAGAGAGAGAGAGAAAAGAACAGCCTAGATAGAGAAGATAGTTTAGTGGGTAAGGATGCTTGCAGCCAAGCTCGATGATCTAAGTTCAATTCCCAGAGCTCATATGAGGAAAAGAATGAACATCTGCAAGTTGTCTTCTGTACTCCATATATGCACTATGGCATGAGACTCCCTCACCATATATGTGTACACACACACACACACACACACACACACATACATGCACACGCACTCGCACATGCACTTGTGCTCGCACACGCGCACACACACAGATTTTTTTTAATATATATATAATGAAGACCTAATTGTGAACCTTAGAAATGTTCTGATTGAGACCAATATCTTCTCAATGCTCAATAAAATCTATCCATGTGGTCAAAGAGACCTGCGCCCACACAGAGATGGCTGCCTTGTAGTTCCGCAGCACCCGTTGCCATGCTGATGCATTCAAAATGTTCACTCCTGACCTTCGAAAAGGAGGCAAACCCCTGAGCTTGTGCTTGCCTTTTAGCTCTGCATGAAGAAGAAAGACCAGAATACAGACACAGCTCTGTAAGTACTCCGGCAGGGGTAGGGGGTGGGAGTGGGGGATGGTAGGGGCAGCAATGGCATCCATCATCAGCATCCTTCTCCAGAGACTGGATGGAAGTGCTGGAAGGTGAAGGGGGTCCAGAGGAGACTAGACAGTGGGGGGAAAACCTGCCTCCACTTTAGAGGAAGCACTGGGAAGGTTGCCTGAAGCAGGAACACCTTGGGGCCTTCTGCCTACTCTCTGAGCAGGTTTGGCCAAGGCTTGCACAACTGCATTGCCACACAGCAACTGAGGGAGCTTGTCCCGGAAAGAGCCTCTGCTGCCCTATCCTCACAGCAAGGCCAGGGCACTTGGCCTCATCCTCCATGCTGTGACCCCTGGGGACTGTTCCTTTTGTTCACACGTGGCAAGTGGGCAGCGGGGAAGAGACAAAAGCATTCTGCCTGAGAGGATGGATTTTGTTTTGAATTTTTTTCCCTTATTACTACAATCATGGTTCAAATTAATTTCTTGCTTCATTTCAGATGAGAAAGCTGAGCCGCCACCTAACACGGGAAGAGTTTTTGCATCAGGACCACCTCAATTTGTGAAATGTCATCTGTATTTATTGCTACTTTTCAATTCACTCCGATCAAATTGTCAGAGGTTATGAAGAAGTATTTAATTGTTAATTACTAAACAGTAGTTGTTATGATTAATTCCATCTACTTATGGAACTATTTTATGCACAAGGTTTTGTAATGAAAAGATTCTGTTAAGTTCCTTGAAGTACATGTTAATTGACTGTGATTTATTCCTGATAGATTAGTAACTACTCACTATCTGACTTATATTTTTCTAGATAGGAGACTAACTGACATTGGGGTTTTCCAAATCAATGCAGTAGCAAAGAAAGAAAGAAAGAGAGAGAGAGAGAGAGAGAGAGAGAGAGAGAGAGAGAGAAAGAAAGAAAGAAAGAAAGAAAGAAAGAAAGAAAGAAAGAAAGAAAGAAAGAAAGAAAGAAAGAAAGAAAAAAGAAAATCA